AGCATTGTTAGAGATATTATCTTTATTACAATAAATACAGAATATTTTTTGGAATATACGGAGACGTACACACAGGTCAGTAGTTGGCCTGTCTATATTTCAGTGCAAACGGGAGTTGAGATTTATAAGAGCTGTATCGCTAATGTGTTACCAGGAATATACGGCCCTTATTTCGTCTCTATTTCTAGTTATATACTCGATACACGTACAGTTATCAATCCAGAAACAGAAAACAATAGTCAGAAAAGGCGCCAAAAACAATCACATTTAAATTTAGAATTTAAATATAAAAGTAAACTTCAAAAGTACTAGATAAAATATATACCTCTACAAAAGATATTTGTAGCGACTGCTGCGATTCGCTACAGTGATTTTAAAGTTTTAAGCTCCTTCCATGATGTCTAATGAGGACGGAAAGGAAATTAATTTATAGATAATTTTAGAAACGGGAAAACAAAAAAGTTTTTATGGCGTATATTTATTTCGCGAATAAACAACCGTTTCGTGCCCTTTATAGGTTCCATAGTCACTGTAAAGTCATCAACCAGTTATGTCTAATATTAATGTAAATGAGCCATAAACGCAGGTTTGTTTCAAAAAACAAATATTATGCGCGATTTAGATCCGAAAAAATTGTTTCATTTCCTATGTGTAACAATAGAGGAAACTAAAAACTCGATGTTTTATAAACGATTACGTAAATATTTGATGGTTATAATTCAAACGCGCATTTGCCGTTACTACTTAGCAGGTTACTACTTAATTAATTCCTTGCAGAGGGTCGCCACCAAAGTGTTGGGAAAATCGATGTTCGGCACTAAAAAGAGATGGCCTTCGAGCTCTTTGCCGTGCTGTTGTTGCGAGACAGCAGGTTAGCAGGTATATGGTAGTACGTCGAAAGACAAAAATATGTCGTACGTATACATATTTTCGTCTTGCTCTGTCTGGTAAATGGCTAAAGATGAAAATTATTATGGTCCATATGGTGATCTAGTTAAGACACTGCTACGCGTGATCCAATTCCGTGTATCTCACTACAGCCACCTTGAAGAGATACTAATAAAAAGAATTTGAATTTTGTTGCTACTTAATTTTTTTTTTCATTTTTCAGCCCACTGCAGGGCAAAGGCCTCCCTTTTCTTTTTCCACTCTTCGCGATGTAACTCCGCTACAGGCCAAGATTTCATATACGCGTCCAATTCGTCACGCCATCTCGTTCTGGGTCTTCCACGGCTTCGTCTAGCGGTTGGTGGGATCCACTCCATGGTGGTCTTCTCCCACAACTCGTTTTACATGCGGCAGACGTGTTCGGCCTAGTTCAATTTTAAGCTCGCAGCTTTATGACTAACGTCAACGGCTTGTGTTTTGGAGCGCAGCATGCTGTTTCACACGCGGTCTGACAGTTTTACTTTCAAGATACTGCCCTCCATGCCTCGCTGACACACCTCTAATGCAAACCTCTGATGATTCGCCAAAGACCAAGTTTGAGCACCGTAAGTAAGGACGGGGAGAAAGTGTCCTTACTTATGGTATTAATATTACGATACCTACTGGTAATTTTCCCTTCATCAGGTCTTTCATTGCAAACTCGCGACGCTTAAAATATATTATAGCATATCTTTCAACTTAAACAGTTCCAAGTAATCGAATATTTTCAGGTTAGAGGTGCAAGAATAAAATTGTCCATAACGTCTGAAGCGTTCATGGCCAAAGTGGATGCTGCATTGAAGAGACGTATACATGCAAATAAATCAAAATACGCTGAACTGGAATGGCAAAAAGAAGAGGTAAAAACTACCGTGCCTGGTAGATTATGAGTACCGATCTCCGTACCTTCTGTTGCTCATAGCCCTGTGCCCAGTAAGAAGACTCTAGATATATATCTATATAGTGCTATGTCAATGTTGATATTGGTTTACAATTAATACTTTTACAATTATTTGGTTTACAATTAATAATTTAAGTTATAGTAGCTGTAGAGCTCCTTGTGAAAAAGTTCATCTAGTGAAGTACTGTCACCTTATCTATTTCTGCCGCCAAGCAGTAACGTGAGCATTAGATTCGAGGTAAGGGTGCTGGTGAATTTATAGGTACATGAGACTTTTCAAATTATGTCTCAGGGGATGGGCGCAATGGCAGTGCCCTTCAATTCTTTGCGAAAGCTCTCTGTTATAGATAGGCGTGTCGCTTATCAACAGACGCACGACTTGTTCGTCCCATTACTTAGTGTCTTTAAAAAAAATTCAACAAGAATTTCTTTATTTTCCTTGTCACAACAATTAAATTTATTGCCTGAAAAATGAAGTACTACTGCTAAAGTAAATCGAGTGTTTCAAAAACTACGTAAATAATCTTTCCCCGTATTTACTGTAATAATAATAAGTGGTAAAATGTGGTGGGAACAGAGTGGAACTATGCTGCCGTCTACTAACTAAAACGCGGGTAAGTGACAAAATATTTTTTTGAGATCTTATAGAAAACCATAACCCAATTTTAGTATATCGAAATTGTTTAATAGTATCTCGGCTATGCATCGTTACGGTAAGTTCGGATAAGTCGAACACGTTAACTAATTTAAACTGTTTTTAAAAGAGGATTTTGTGCTCTGTCTTAAGCTTTTCAAAACGAATATTTGGCCATTTAGTTAGTGGACCGCAGTATGTAGCGCTTTACAGATGTGTCGCACAGTGCAACAATTACCCGCGCAGATTCTCTCTATAGTACGCCTTTCTGGTGAGCAAAGTTCTCGCCAAAATTCGATCGAACAAGGTCTCTTCATTTTTTGTGACAATAACGCTTATTCTTATAGGCGGAAAACGATTTAAGAGTTTTAGAAGTAGAAATGTTGAATACTGAGCAAAGCCTAATTCAGAATATGGAACAAGAACGAGTGGTCAGGGCTAGACTCGCAGATAGAACCACCAGACCACCTGGTGAACTGCTTAAAGATGAAATTAATATAAATTTGAAAAACGAACTCATTAGAATCAAGCAGTTCGTCAGAGATCTTAGGAAAAACATCGAAAGCATTAGGTGAGTACTTTTCAATCATTTCTACTATTAGGAATATACGTATAATGTTTTATGTTACGTAGATACATATTTACGTATAAACATTTTTCACATTTAACATCGCTTCATTTGCCTTGGCCTACCAAAGTGTGAAAATTCTTAGTTGAAAATTAAACTTCTTATACAATGTTTACACATCATTTAAATATGCTCTTTACTTTTGTTAGTACGTCTTGCTTGAATTTTTTGTGCTCATGTTCTAAAATAGCCCACACTTCGTTTGCGGCGCTGCAACAAGACAGAGAACACAGACATTCGTAATTTTAGCACCTCCTTTTCGCTTAGTGGAAAATCACAATTTCATTCGTTGCACACGCCAATTGACTTGGCAATCAGCTCCACATATTATTTTAGTATCAGGGCTTAATTGATCATGTACAAATATGTTTTATTTACCTCGACGTTTCACAACGTCCATGGTCTTGAAGGTACTGAGAAAGTCCTTAGCAGAGTCCATTCGAGACCAGCAGCTTGATTTTGATTGCCTCTCCCGATCGGAAACTGCGTCTCTTCCGAGTCGAGGCGCATAATTGCGATTCACAACTGGCCGATCGGAAACTTTTGACATTTCAAATCGGGACAATAGTTGATTTAACTCACAAATTAGAAAGATATAGTAGGAATCAGGTTCATCTTCTCGCCCGGAAACCTATCTGATTTTGAGCCTACCCGATCGGTTCGATTCCGACTTGAATCAAAACCAGCATGCATGGACGTTGCAACACGTCCGAAACTTCGAGGGAAATAAAACATATTTATATATAATTAAAAAACAGTGCAAATCGTGAAAGTTTAATGCTCCATAAACTTCTTGTTTCTAGTGGTGTTTAATAGTTTAGGGTGAACTCACATTCACAATTATGTGACTAGCTGTAGCTAGTTGGGACGTCTACAATCAATTAGTCTTTTTCAAGTAAAGTTGCCCATCTATCATTGTAGAAGCTCGTTAGTATAATTCCCGAGCACATGTTCTAAATACGACTTTTTTAGTTTTCCTAAAATTTCTTTCTTCGAGAACTCTTTCGGCAAACAGGACACTTTTTAGGAATAGGTCCGTTTTGCGAATAGGTCCTACATCGACTAATCGCTCGACATGTAGAAGCTCGTATCTATAATGCCCGAGCGCGTGTTCTAAATACGACTTTTTTAAAGATTTCCTAAAATTTCTCTCTTCCAGTACTCTACAGGACAAACTAAAAAATTCTATAGTCCAAATCGAATGCGCACAAAGAGACTTGGTTCAAATAATTATTCTGGATGAAGATAGACAAGCAGCGCGGCAGGGACACGACATCAAAAATACTGTAGTTGATAATTCTAATCTTGTCGTATCTGGCACACCAAACACGTTCATTCCTGATTTTCCAACAACTGGCATGGAACCTGTTTGCACCGCAGCTGATTTACCCCCAGAAGTACGATGTAATGTACTTCTACCTATCACAGAAGAAGACGAGGAAGAAAATGATAATGAAGATCAAAATTGTGGAAGTTACTGCCTGACTAATAATGTTCCTGGCTATGATTATGATGATGTTGATGACGAGGGCCTGGATGATTATCCATTTGACTACTAATTTGACAATGCTAAAAACAGTTGCTAAATAAATAATTTCTGATTATTTTATGAATATTCAAACATAGAAAATTCATATAGAGCAAACTCAGTTTCTTACGCGCTCTTTTTGGCGAAATACGCCTTATGAATAAGTAGTAGAGTTCAAACAACTCATGTCAAGGTAATTTGCATAGAGATATTTTTGATTTGTGAAAGTTTTGTCTGGTTTTCGATTACAGCTTTTAGTTCTAGATGCATGATTTTTATTGTTATTATAGTCATTTAAAAAAATGCTACATTAATAATAGTAGTTAGTATAGAAATAATAAAATAAAATGTATTTTGAAATTTATTTAGGTAACAACTAAAATCTGTTTTAACATTATTACGAAAAAAAGACAAGATTATGTGAACTGAAAAAAATATGAACAGATTTTTTTTTAATTTCCGAGTATACGTAATATAATTTTGAATTTAATCATTTACATGATGTCCATATTATTTACAGAAATTAGTTTTTCCTCTTTACATTGCACTAAAATAAGATGGGTACCAACATGATTCTGCATAATATGTATTATTAATGTTAAAATATATCAAAATGGTTACATACCCAAATGGATAGTTGTAGCACTTTTATATAATATTATTAGTTATTACATTATATGATTATGAATATATGGGCATTTTGATTATATTGTTATATTTACAAGTCTTTAACCAGAAAATTTATAAAATTCATTACAACCAAACAAATTACATTACATTAAAACTTTCTAATCATGTATATAAAAATTAATTGAACACAAAAGCTGGTGAAAGGAATGTATGTCAAAAAAACGTACTGCAAACACCCTTAAATTTTATCATTTCATAAAAAAACCAATTGCTTTTTGTGTAGGTGCCACCATTTATTCATGTTTCAAAAAAAATGGTAGGTTCATCAAATTATTACTAATCATGGAAATAAAAGTAAATGAAATAACATTCCAATAAAATAAACCACTGTTATACCTAGTGAAACATCTTTTAAAAATAATAATTATATTCACTTCTGAAGGAATAAAATGTGTGCAATAAGAAGTATGTAGCTTGCGTCTTTTTCTAGTGTCAATTTTCAGCACAACTTATAGGAATAGTGAACATTTGAAGTGTCTAACATGTTTACTATTACACAAAAGGGGACAAAGTGTGACAGATCAACACTCAGTCAATACTGTAACATATACTGATAAATCAACATTGAGCCTTGCCAAAGAGTTGAAGTTACTTGATAACTTTTAAGTAATCTATGGTTACAATCTTATGTTTTTCTGTAATTTACTTCACTAATAAATAAACAAAGCAAAGACCCTAACAAATATGGTCTTTAAGAGTATGAATGTGGCAATACTTAGTACTTTATGCAAAAATTACTTTTAAAAATCGTTTTTCTCTAAGCTGGTTTTTATTTATCTGAAATAGTTTTTACCATCATCAACCCTTATTCACATCCACTGCTGCGTACAAGTCACCCGAAATTGAAGCTTTAGTATTAGTATATACAATTTAAAGTTGCTTAATATATTCTTCTTGTCATATTGATGGCAAAAAACTTGCAACATCCCATTTTTAACAAAAGGTTTGGCCATTAAACTGGCTGTATAATGTTTAACATATTAATTTTCATTCAAGTTTTAAAGTTCAGTTTCAATGATGAGCCCTAAATATAAATTTGAAGCAACTTCATAAACGCATATAATACTCAATAAGCATGTACAATACACATTCAATTGGTGGGGCCATTGATGTAACACTGTAAGAAATACTCAATAGTAACAGGTCAGAATTCAACACAACACTAGGTCCATCTATGCAAAGGCGCAAGCTATATAAGATCTATTTAAAAAAAGGGTTTATGACACATTATTACTAAACTCATACTTATGGGATACCATCCACAATATATTAACCATGTCATTTAGTATAGGCACATTGCTCAAGTATGCTAATAAATATAGCATATCATGAGGAGCGTTGGAACAAAGACTGCTTAGTCACGTTTTGAATTTTCATTTTCTGTAATGCCAAACTGCAGTTTTTGTAAGTTTCTACGAATAATGTATCCAACCTGAACAACAACCGCTACATCCACTTTAAAAATATGTTTGAAATACACAGATCTGAACACATAACGACAAATCCATTTAATGAAACTAAATTAAATTGGAATTGAAATTCATCCGAGTTCTCAGTTTTTGTTCCGTAACTCCTTAATTCTAACATCATAACTCCATCATCTTCAACTATAACTCAGATGTCCTTATATTACAATCTTACATCAAATTCAGTACATACAACTCAACTCATAGTTGAAGAAACTGGAATTATCCCACTACTTGCATGCAAATAAACTAACTAGCTAGATATAAACAGATATTTTTGGTGTTATCCATTAAACATGTAAAATATTAAGTCATTGATTTATTAACTTAAGTGCATTTCAGTGCTTATGTGCTCTTCAATACTCAGTACATTGCAACCTATCTCCACATGGCATTTGTTACAATAAGCATTACTCTCATGTTCATTAGAGAGATAGCTCTCAATCGAGATATCCTGGCCATCAATCAGATCCTCAATCTCAGCAAACCAATCCATATGTTGTTCATCGTCATCAATATGCTCCAGAATACTTTTCACTGTATTCTCAAGATACAAATTGCAGATTTTGCACCACACTTCATCATTATTTTCAACTGCAAATATGCCATTGAGAGGCTTCAGTTTTTCACAGACATTAGCCCTGTGGTTGAAATCATTAACATGCTCCTCTATATTAAGTGGGGTGCACTCTACACTACAGTTGCACACCTCACAGAAAACCTCATCCTTCTCCCCAGATAAGTAAGGAACGAGGCTGATGAACTCACCGTCGACGAGGTCTTCCATGGCGGTCATCCAATTAGCGTGGTCATCACCATCGATGTGCTTGGTTACCGATTCGTCTTCGTTAAGTGTGCGCTTGCATGGCTTACAATATAGGACGTCGTTGTTACAGTTTATCCCGTTCTCGGACATCAATTCTATGTTTTCCTTGTGCCTGGTGCCATTGGTGTGTTGTTCTATACATTTGTTGGCTTTAGGAATGTACACACCGCAGAAAACGCAGCGGACTCTGGTCTTCGAGCTCTCGTCCGCGACGATCCCATATAACAGGCTTGTTTTCATACTTTTATGTTTGCAAATGTGGTCTGGCAGATTTTATGTGTAACAGCGGAGAGGTAAAAATATTCAAACTACTTGGAATTTCGTATTTTTCTAGCAAACTATTTTTTTGTGATGTTTGCTTGACAGGAGAGTGAATGTAAACGGAATGACTACCGATTATACTGATTGATTTTTGGATTTTTGACCCTAAATTCTTTCATTTACGAATGAATGAATTTCAAATATCCTAGATACATGTGTTGGTCAAGGAAGAAGTTCCATTTTGAAAAAAAATATAGTTTTCAGAAAATTAAATATTTTTCCCATTATACTAAATCTATGATTTATTCCTATATTTTCCATATTTGACGTTGACACCAGTTAAAAGTTGAAGTTACTGAACGTAAACAATTGAGCTATCAAGTTTCTTCAACAGACATAATAAGTGGATAATATGTCTGTGGAGCCTATTTAGCGTAGACGGACTATTTAGAGATTTTTTCATCTATGATTTTTTTGCTATTATCAATTTTGATACAAAAATATAATACAAAAACATTTTGATACCTCGTTTTACTTGCTTTTAGCCATTGACTTACAATTATATGGACGTCGGGTCCGCGCTAAAAAGTGTCCGCACTTGTAAGGCGCTAAAATCGTATACAGAGCGCGACACTCCGCTTTAGTCTTCATTTGTTCTACTGACAGCGCGATACTGCGATGACATTACAATTTAAATTTCGAATAGGTTGACTTGGGACATTTTTTTCGTGGTTTTTGTATTAGACCCGTCGTCCATTTATTTGTAAGTCAATGCTTTTAGCTTTACAATTTTATTTTGTAATTCACGCTAAATAAAATTTCAAAAGTGTTAGAGTGAGTATGATTGTACAATGAAACTCGAAAGTCATAAAGAAGAAATATGTTTAAATATAGCTTGTCCAAAAAATGTCGGAAAAATAAAAAGAGATATAGCAAAATGTATTCACAATGTTATTTATAAATAGTATTAGCAAAGTGTAGTAAATTCATCGACTATAAGTTCTAAGTTGTTACGGGCCATCTTTGTTGAAGATTTGAGAAACTACGCCGAAAAATCCGAACAAAATGGAGTTATGTAAAATTCAGATTTGAAACAACCTGAAAGATTTAAAGATTATATCATGAGTACGGAACATGGCACTGATTCTGTACCAGAAACTTACAAATAAAATCTCGAAATACCAATAAATGGCATAAAGCTATGATAAGCGAAATAAATTCGTTAAAAGAAAACAAGACTTGGATACTTGTGGACTTGCCGGAGAAAAGGAAATACATACCATGTACGTGGGTTTATCGAGTAAAGCACAACTCAGATGGTACGGTAGACAAGTTTAAGGCGCATTTGGTGTTCAAAGGTTCACAAAAAAGGGGATTGATTATGATCAAGTTTCAGCTCTGTTGCTAAACTTGGAACAGTGAGAGCGGTACTTAGCGTAACTGTTAGTGAAAATATGGCTATTAGACAGTTTGACGTAACAACTGCGTTTTTATATGGATACCTTGATTAAGAGATCTACATGAAGCAACCCGAAGGATATGATGAAGTTACTGGACGCGTATGTCTTTTAAAAAGCAGTGTTTATGACTTAAGTGTTTAAAGCAAGCTCCGCGCTACTGGAATAAGCGCATAATGAATTTCTTCAAGGATATCGAATTTAAAGTAAGTGAAGCGGATTCATGCTTACTTATTAGAAATTCTAAAGCTGGAAAACTCAGTGTCGCACTGTACGTAGATGATGGGTTGGCAGCAGGCTTAAATGCGAAGTTAGTGGAAGAATTTCTGGAGCATTGCTTCTTACTTTCTTGGTATACAAATAGAACACAGAGAAGACGGTTTACAGATGCATCACGCTTCCTACACAAAGAAGTTGATGAAGAGGTTTATAGTAAAGAAGGTGTCAAGTGAAGGACGACTCGAGGATATTTTTACCAAAGCTCTACCGAGACCCAAGCCATAACAATTTGTCTGTCGATTGGGTATTCATTGAGAGAAGATGTTAAGAGTTTGAGTATGATGTTCAATGAAACTCAATGGTCCTAAGAAGAAATATGTTTAAATATCATTATACTATATATAGCTCGATTACCACTGACTGAACTAGATACTGACATAATTGTTCTCCCAGAAGGAGTGCCGGTGGGTAAAAATAATGTACTAGACTCGTAGACGGATCGGTCCCATGAGTACCAGAAAAATCCGAAATCTTCGAAAAGTGGACTGCATCAGGTGAACGCCTACGCGCGCGGCTAAAGTATAAGACCTACCGGAAAGGTGTTCTTACTAAAAATGGCCGCCACCCTGGTCAGTTTCTACCGGAAGTGAAAAAAATTCGAAATTCGTAAAAACAAGATGGCCGCCATACAAATTGCAGAGCTTTATATCTCGAAAACTACAAGAGGTAGGTGGGGGGTGCTCGACCAAATGTCATAGAGGGCGGCGGGGGTCAACTGCCGGTGACAAATTTTTTTCAAGATGGCCGACTCAAAATGGCGGCCCGAAAAAAAGGTGGTCCAATCCGGCCGAAATTTGGCATGCGGACGCGTATGGGGGCTTAGGTTACAAATCTGGGGTTAGAATTTTGATTCCGCCATTTTCCAAGATGGCCGCCATACATGTGAAACTTTCGCCCTTTGGAGTCATTTTTCGCCCAGAAGAAGGGTGGATTGGTACAAGTGATGTAGGAGAGTAATGGTTATATCGGTCATATGAACGTCAAAAACTATTCAACTCTTTAAAATGTGCTCCGCATCAGGAACTACCCTAGCCGTCCGGCCAAAGTATACGTCCAGGCTCAAAGTGCCCAAACAAATGTTCATACACACCCTGGGCAATTTTTAAGGAAAGTGAAAAAAGTTCAAAATTCGAAAAACAAAATGGCCGCCATACAAATTTTGAAAGCCTCCATCTCGGAAACTATTGGAGATAGGTGACTCGTGTTCAAACTAATATCGTAGACGGTGACAGGGTCTAACTGGCTATCGAAATTATTTTTCAAAATGGCCGATTCAAGATGGCGGCCCGACAAAAAGGTGCTCCGATCCGGCTGAAATTTTAAACACTTCCATGTCTGGTAGTTCCTAAAAATAATATGTGGTCAAAATATTGATTCCACCATTTTCCAATATGGCCGCCATACATTTTCCACAGTTCACTATGTTCCGAGACTTACATCTCGGCGAGTGTTGGACATAGATGAGAGGCGCTCAAGCAAATGTCGTACAGAATAGTTCGAGCCAACTGCAGGTAAAAAAAATTTTCAAGATGGAGGACTCAAAATGGCCGCCAGAAGAAAAAGTGCTCCGATCCGACTGAAATTTAACATCCGACCGTGAATAGAGGTTCATAGTATGTATCTGCGAATGTAATTTTAATTCCGCCATTTTCCAAGATGGCACATTTCTCCCAGAAGAAACGCGGGTTTATAAGAATGACGTATGCGAATAATGGTTAGGTGGATTTGGTGAGTATCAAAAAGTACCAAAACCTTCGAAAAGTGCTCAGCATCAGGGAGGACCCCAGCTGCACGTGCGAAGTATACGTTTTGGCCCTAAGGTCTCCAAACAAATGTTGCTCCACACCCTGGGCAGTTTCTAGCGGGAGTAAAAAAAAATTTCAAATTCGCAAAACAAAATGGCCGCCATACAAATTTCGGGGGACTATATCTCTGAAACTATTAGAAATAGGTAAATTATGTTTAAACTTAAGTCCGAAAAGGCGATAGGAGCTAATTGACTGTCAACTTCATTTTTTCAAAATAGTCGATTCAAGATGGCGCCCGAAAAAAATTTACCGATGGTGCTGAAATTTGGCACTTGGCTGCGTATGAGGCCCCATAATATGAAATTGTGTTTGTAGTTCTTCATTTTCCAACATGTCCGCCATACATTTTCCACCGTCCAACGTCATTGTTCTCCTAGAACGTATCGAGGTGTGTTAAATAAATGTACAAGGATTGTGTTTGACTGAGAATATTAAATATCAGAAAAATCCAAAACTTTCAAGACGTGGTCTGCATCAGGTAGGAGACACCACCTGCTCGGCCAAAGCGTCAGAGATGGTACGGCTTTCAAACAAAAATTATCAAGGAACCTGATCAGGTTCTATTGGAACTAAAAATTTTCCAAAATGGCGAATCCAAGATGGCCGTCATAAAAAAAAATTCTTTACTGAATCTTCGCAATTATTGATGATGTATGAGTAGTTTCTTCTGAAGTATATAAGGATACGACTTGACGAGATCATACCAACTACTTGATTCCCTCAGAACCAAATAAAGTTAACAAAAATATATTTCTGAAACAAACACTACAACCAGCAAACTGTCACAAGCCTAAGACACAGGCCTCGCGGGCCGTTTTAGCGGCCCAGCGCAACGCGCAACATACTATACGTGTGTAGCTCGATTACTACTGACTGATGTAGACATTTAGGTAATAGTTCTCCCAGAAGGAACAGCGATAGTTTAAAATGATTTACAGGAATAGTGGCTGGAAGGGTTCAGTGAGTACGAGAAAATCCGGATATCTTGGAATAGTGCTCCGCATCAGGTGGGACAGAGGCTGTTCGCTCCAGTATCGTAGATGGGCACATGGCTCTCAAATAAAAGTTGTCAAGAATCTTAGTCAGGTCCTACCAGAATCGAAAGTGTTCTGATATGACGAATTTAAGATGGCCGCCATACGAAATTGACTATTCTGAATCTTCGCAGTTGTCAATGATATACGAATGGTTTGTTCTGAGATATTTAAGGATACAACTTGACGCGATCGTACCAACTACCCCTACATGTAACTTAACTGGAGCAGTCGACAACCCTGCTTCCTCCCATCCAAACTCAACCAAAGAGGATTCTCTACTGAAATATGAAGTCTAATTCCCAACCTGTCACACGAGTCCTAAAGAAAGCCCTCGCGGGCCGCTTTAGCGGCCCGGCGCATCGCGCGGCATCTAGTGTTTAAATATAGCTCGTTCAAAAAATGTCGAAAAAATAAAAAGATATACAGCAAAATGTATTTACAATTTTATTTATAAGTAGTATTAGCAAAGTGTAGTAAATTCAAAGTAAAAGATCTACCTAAAGGCAGAATAATAAGAGTATTCTAATTATATTTTTCCAATTTTTCCAACTTGTCAGATTATTTTACGGAAAAATTTCCATTGTTTCAAATTTTTCGGAAAATTATCGACAGTACATACATTATTATAATAAGTCTATACAGGGCGTCTCACAACGGTCACGCGACTATGCCACACGGAGGGAATGTACCTTAAATACCGTAGATTAAAAATTTCACTGAAAGGAGACTTCATTTTTTCATCGAACGCATTCAAGGATTATGAAATATTAGAGTGTCTAAATCGGGAGTCGAACACGCCAAATGTGTAAAAAAAAACCTATAATTTTACCATAGAAAGCTTCACACAACTTCTTGTAAATAACATAACGTCTTAAATAAATGGAAGATCATGAAATTTTACTCAAATAACTAGGCACATTTACTGCAACTTAAAATTAATTTAAGTTATCAAATGCCAAATGCTTAAAATGTGTCCCCTTTCTGTAGTAGGCAAATTTTCACTATTGATAATACATCAAATTATTTAGGCTATGTTGAGGCTTTCGACCGGTTTATTAAAATTACAGGTTGTTTTTTTCACATTTAGAGGCCATTAAGTATTTAAAAATCTTTGAATATAGTTCGATTTGTTTTTAAAAGTACACTTCCGGACACGTAAGTCGAGCCACCTTGCATTTTCAGATTAACTGGCATAAGCTTAAACAATGTTTGATTGATCGAAAACTACTAAGCTGTTTTGAAATTGGTATACTAAACGTCATTTCCATGAGTCCTTGTTGAAAATTTGAATTTATAAAACCGGGAAAAACTGTTTTCTTCAGTGATAATAATACTTTTGTATTCAGCCTTTTAACGATAAAAATGCAAGGTGGCTCGATTTACGTGTCCGGGAGTATATATTGAAGTCTTTGTTTCAGTAACATTTTCTATCTACGGACCTTATGGTACGTACTTTCCCTCCGTGTGGCATTAGCTTAGCCGTGAGACGCCTGTATTTTTTTTTGGTTAGGACAATGACTTACAAATACGGAACCATGAAATGGCAAGTCAAGAAGAAAAAAAACGCACAACATAAATATAAATGAATGAGAATGAAAAAAAAAAAAGAATGAACGGTTATGCAGATTTTGTTGATTTGTTTTGTATTGTTTCTAGATTGTGATCGTGAAAATTAGCTATTTAGGTACTTAACTCTTGATGTTGTTGGTTGTGTTCGTTCACCCTCTGTTCACCCACGATGTCGCGTGATTCAGAAGATGAAATTCTTACAGATGTATTGGAAAACGCAGCTGAAGTCGTGGAAGACCTGTCGGTATGTTTTTCCAGGACATTATTCCTCATCTTTCGCCTTATTTAAAATTTCGCCATATTATATTTGCCACTTTTAAAATATCATTTTGAATATTTGCAACTCTTAACTTGTCGTACTTGAGTAAATTCAAGTTACAGACCACGAGATATACACACAGCTAATTGGCTAACCTCTTTATGGATTTAGGACTATAATAAGCCCAAAGAAGTGTTGGAACGATAATATTTGCAAGACATTGTGTGCAATATTCGTTCCTCAAAATTTATGGCGTGGGCGTACATACCCGAAATCGGCTTTGTATTTGTAGTCGCTACTTCCAGGTTAATTACTTTTCGCAGTTAATGAGTGTCTGCACATGTCCTAAATGGAGCCACTCACCTAATAATAATAATAATAATAAAAATAAAAACTTTATTTCAGAATAAAAAACAATCCATTTTGTTATTAAGACGTATCCTTTGTGCATCGAGTATATAACCAGAAATAGAGACGAAATGAGGGCCATATATTCCTGGTAACACATTAGTAATACAGCTCTTATAAATATCAACTCTCGTTTGCACTGAAATATAGATAGGCCTACCACTGACCTGTGTGTATGTCTCCATATATTCTAAATAATATTCTGTATTTATTGTAATAAAGATAATATCTCTAACAATGCCATGCTGTTCTATTCGGTGGTGTGGGAAAAACAGCTAAACATCTAGTTACAAAACAAACGGAATCACATTTCATTGGTAATTAAATATTAAATATGTAATTAATTCCATTATAGCAAAGCTCAAGTTAATTGGTCGATTTGAAGTGAAACATTTGATGACACCCATTGACAACACCTGTCAATTGTTTTGAATTCAGGCTAGCCAATCGAAGCGCAGTTGTCACAGTATTGATATGGCAGAATAGTTTTCAAACAAATTAAATGACATTTCGTCTCTATTTTTGGTTATATACTCGATGCCTTTGTGTCAGTACTTAAATTTAGAGTACATAAAGCTGGGTACTCATTAGCGAATTGTAACTGTAACATGACAGAGACAGTAAAAAGGTTCTAGTGTGTACGCGTGAAACAGTCTTCCTTCAGAATGAGATTATGTTCAGCTCACTGCGAACCGCACACTTTCCACTAGCAGCAAGCTCGTGAACCCATTCCTAGCAACTCATCAGCTAAATAGGCCTCATATCACTTTTAAATATCAACTCTGGTTTGCGCTAAAATCACAAATTAGAAAGCTGATATAGTATAGCTCCAACAACAAAATATTCTGTATTTATTGTAATAAAGATAATATCTCTAACAATGTGTGGGAAAAATAGCAAAACATCTAATTACAAAACAAACGGAACCACATTTCATAGATAATTAAATATCTAATTTTTCAATTTACATCTATTATAGCAAAGCTCAAGTTAAACTGGTCTCTTTGAAGTGAAACAATTGACAACACCTGTTAATTGTTTCTAATTCGGGCTGGCCAATCGGAGCGCAGTTATCACTATAATGATTTGGCAGAATACTTTTCAAACAAATCAAATGACACTTTGTCTCTATTTCTGGTTATACACTTGTTGCATAGCATGCAATGGTTTTGGTTACAACTCACTAGTGAGTACCTTGCTTAACTTATGACATTATTCAAAATACACCCTTTTAATGATACAGTGCCACAACAAAGGGTTGTCAAATGGTTCATGTGTGTTACCTAACAATAGCTGTATTTTAAATACATGCCGAATTGTCAGAATTTAGCAGATCAATGACAAAATAGACACTTGTCACAGCTCATTGTATATAGATACAGTATACTGCAGTTAATTAGTTTTTAGTTATAACCAGCCATACACCATGAAAGAAAAGAAAATCATAACAACATTAGTGTTGTAGAGATGTATATTAAATTGCAAGTGACGAAGTTGCAATGCCAATTCATGTTTCTGAGAAAAAATAAAAATGTGTACCCATCACCACTTTGGTTCAATTAGGTTGGCAATCACATTAAACTAACTGTCAATCTACTTGAATAACATTCATTTCAATAAACATTATCAATATGCAGTATCGTAAAAACCATAACTGGCTTAACACAATACTGTTGAATTAATCGCTAACCACATACATAATTTGTACATACTAAAAACCAACCGACACTAACAAGCAAACGAAAACAACAAGTGGGTATTTCATTAAAAAATTAAACTAATTATTACATTGAAATGCAAAAAATGATTGTACTGGAGTAGAAAAGAAGCGATGTGCCATGTATTCTACACTTGCTAACCAGTTTGTCATCATTATACCTCCCACTGGTAATCTCCATTGCTCCATTGCACATAGGCAGTTTGTATAATGTCTGAGGATTTGTAGTGGTTCTAACTGCCAACAGTACTTATTTCTTTACATGGTTACAGCAATCATGGTGCTACAAAAGTAGGCTCCAGAATCTTTTCGCTGGAACATTTCTTTTTGTTGTTTTGTATAAATGTTTAGTTTTATTATGTAGTGGTGACAGAAATAAAGTGTTCATATACCAAAAGGTGAGTGATTATTGTTTTCTGTTGTAGAAAGAACTGGCAGAGCTGTACCAGTACAGAGATCTGTTTTTTGAAAATCATCCTTTAGAGCTTGCTAATGAAAAAAACAAGTTTGTTGATCAGAAGAAGGATGTTATCCTTGAAAAATTTGAGAATATTGATGGTAAGTAGACACTTTGTTTTGATTTCTATTAATATAATATGAGGTAGATTGGTTGGCTTTAAGGTTGCATGGCAATTTGGACAAACATTTGTAGCACTATCTGGATCTGCACTAGTTCACTAGACATTGGTGAAATGGATCCATTCCCCACCTTTTTTTGGAATTTTTATTTATTTATAATAAGACATTTTTAGTAATGTTAACATTTACATTTATTCTAATGAACTAGTATAATCTACTACACACACAAGATATACTAAAAAAAGAAAATCTGGAACCATCACGTGATCAGTGATTATTAATATGTGGAGTTTCTGTCAACCTTGCTGTGAGACATTATTAATTACTATGTTTAATAGTTGCATCAACAGATTTATGAATTCTAAATTGATTTGTTTTGTTTTGTACTGTACAGTCTCTATACAATTATAGCTCAGGAGGAGTAGACTGCTCTGATCAGATGTTTAGTCAGGACTGCCCTCATCTTTTGTTTCGTCCGAAAGAAAGTTGGTCTAATTTTGAATTTCCAGCAGTCTTGTAAGTCTTTGTGTCCAGCCAGTCTGCTGGCCATCCATCCACTACAGTACCCTTAAAGAATTCTGTTTTTAGTAGACTCCCAGATACCTCTATCGCTTCGTGCTCAATTCCTGTACCTCAAAGGCCGATGTTACAACATAAGTCCAACATATGATGCACGAGCCACTCAAAGCCTTAGCAAAGCAGTAAAACTAAACCCACATTTGGTTGATGCGTGGAACGAGCTTGGGGAGTGCTATTGGAAGAACATGAATGTTAAGGATGCAAAGGCTAGCTTTGAAGGAGCTCTTAAACATGTGAGTCACTACTTTTAAGAAGCAGTTGCACATAGGAAATAAAACTATTTTTCCGGATTTAAATCGCGTATATTTGTTTTTTCAAACAAACCGACGTTTCGGGCCCTTTACATTTAATTGAAATCCGGAAAAATAGTTTCATTTCCTATGTGTAACAATCGCGAAAACCTAAGAACTCGATAAGCAGTTGCACTTCAAAGTCGCACATGAATTTTGGTTTTCTAATTTATCCATAGATGTCTCTGTAATCGCATTGGACTATGTGAGGTTTTGACAGGTGATATACTGAATTTGACTGCAAATTTATAGATTTTCCACAGCTTAGTAATAAAAGTAATTCTTAAGATCTCTAATTTCACACCAACTTTAAAAAAAATTAATTGTAAAAATTATAATCGTAGGCCTGGGTCCCAACCTCTACTATCTAGTTGACTGAAATATTACAGACATTGTAATTTAAACTGTTAGTTTTACTGCTAAGTATCGTTTTACAGTGCTAATAATGAGTATAATGGCAATACCTAAGACAAACATTGTTTTTATAACAAATAAGAACTTATACATGTAATATACATATTAATCATGAAAATCAAGAAAATTCTTATAATTTATGCTTTTGACAGTCTTTGTTTTGCTGAGTGCCTCTAGTTCGCTTACTGTAAACTGTTGGAGAAGAACTCATGGAGTTAATCTATTGGCAAGCCTAATTTATAATAAAAACATTACAAATTTCTCCACAGGAACGAAATCGTCTCTCCCTCCGTTGTCTCTCAATAATTCTCCGTCAAGAAAGTGGCGCAAATAAACGTGGGGAAGCAACGGCAACAATTTTCAAAAGTGTGGAGTTGGCTAAGGAAGCTGTAGCTTTAGACCCAAAAGACGGTGTATCGTGGACTATTCTGGGAAATGCTTATTTGTGCCAATTTTTCATGGTAGCTCAGGACACAGTGACTTTAAAGGCTTGTCTAAGCGCTTATAAGCAAGCCTGGGCTGATCCTATCGCTAAGGGGCAACCAGATTTGTATTATAACAGGGGGATTGTAAGTATTTTTGAACTTAATACTTGTTTTACATACATTCTTGCCATTTTAATATAAAAAAAAATTAAAATTATAATAGGGAATGAAACTATTTTTCCGGATTTAAATCGCGTATATTTGTTTTTTCAAACAAACCGACGTTTCGGGCCTTTTACAGGTCCACAAAAATAGTTTCATTTCCTATGTGTAACAATCGCGAAAACCTAAGAACTAAAAATTATAAATTTATTTCTCAATATAGTCTAATGCTTAATTTGTCAAAATAAACAGTTTTGTTTTACTTTCTTTTCCGTGTTTTTTAAAAGTATCTGGAACATACACTAGAGCTTTATGTGCGTAGTCACTGGAGCTGCAGTCTAGCTGTTATGCAACTGCAAAATGGTTATATGCAATGCAATGGCTAGATGCAATTGGTACCACTGGCCTCACAAGCACACCACACGTGCCCGTTGCACCCAAATTGTTTTCCAACTACTATTGTGTAACGGTGATATAAAAAACCAGTTCACGCGACACATAACGTAGATAGTTGAAGCATTGTTCGCACGCTGGGACATTGGATGAGACTGCATGCCGTCGCATAGTGCTATTAATGCTCATTTGTTTTTGTGTTGCTGTGTTTGTATTATGTAACTAACCCTTAGACCTAAGCATTTTGTAATTTACTGATTGTTGATGTATCTGGTTCCGAAATAAATAATAATTATTATTAGCTTCAAAAGCTTGGCGTTTCTCGTAAAAGAATATTATTCCGAATATCTCAGGCTTTAAAATACGAAGAGTGCTACGACGAGGCACTGGAAAGTTTCGACTACGCCTGTCGCCTCGATCCGCCATGGGAGCCTCCAAAGCTAGAACTGAATATGCTACGGCAATATGTTCACGGGACCAATGACCTCGTACGAACTAAGGGCAAGATTAAGACAAAGAAGTTGTTACAAATGGTGCAGGTATGTGATATCTACCCCCAAGTGTATTTATTGTTCAGACGTTAATATTATAGGGCAGTCCACATCCGTAATTTGTAAACGACTAACTGCTAATATCGTCTGCTTAAAGGTAAAACCACATAAGTGGCATTCCACAAATCCACAAAAAATCTTCAAATTATGTACCTGTTGTAAGAAAATCACTATCTTTCGGCAAATAAAACCACTTGTGTTCGATTTTTGTATTATAATTATACAAACTAGTGAAGTTATTTGACAAAAAGTAATTGAATATCAATTCAATAAAAATTTAAATATTCCACCTCTAAGGGTGGCAAATGATGGATGAATCCGGTTTCGCGCACTTTCCTTTTTCCAAAAACCGACAAGCAATTGAGGTCGGACTTAAAAAAAAATAAAAGTTTGTAATTATTCTGTAGGAGCAACTAAAACAATAATGTGACAACCCTAATGTGTTCCGAGGGCCGTGTAGAGTATAGGCATTGACGGGAGTTGCACTCTTTGTCTTATTTCGTACTATGCTGCTAATATACTAATTTTTGCAGTCGATAGACAAAAAGATGATCGCTCCCTATGGTCCAGACACGAAGCATACAGTGGGTACTCGCAAGAACGTGACGTTCGAGCAGGTTCGCCTCGACGCGTTGCAAGAGGGAGACAATGAGGGCAAAGTTCTCCTGGGCAGAGTCGTCGGCTCTATTCACAGCGAGAGCGCCGTGCCTTTGTGAGTTTTGATTGTATTTGTACGAATACGATTAATTTTCTTTCGAGTTGTGGTCGAGCGGCAGTGACACTGGCTTTATTTCAGAATTGATTTTTTTACAGACGAAGTTAAAACCATTTGAAAAATGTATATCGTACTTCTTCTTCTTAGCGTGTCGACTCTGACGTTTATATTTGTGAGGATCAGTACTCAGCGACTGACACAGCGTTATCAGTGGCGTTGTACAAGTCCTCGCGTGTGCAGGTGTAGGGGCACGCAGGACAAGACAAAAGTTGTGCCGTAGTTTGGGGAGAGACACCACAAATACGAGCCATAACCCCACCTGTGCAAGCTCTACTTGACTCGGCCGACTTGAGTCCGCAGTCTATTTAAAGACTTCCAAGTGTGCCAAGGTAGATTATGCCCAGGAGAAAGGTGCTCCGATAGCGGAATGAGTGACGCCATGGGGTATCGCTCCTTCCAGAGATTTATACGGACTTGATTAGTTTCTCCGTCCAAAGGGAATACTTCTTTAATGAAGCTATGCCGACTCTTTAGCCTCTGTAATTACCGGCACGTGATAGTGTTAGGGGTGCCGCGGTCAGTCTCTTTTTTTAGGGAGCTAGCCACATCAACGTCAACCAGCGAATACAGCATACCAACAGAGGTTGGTTTCAGACAGTCCGTAATGATTCGACATGTGTCATTTAGTGCTGTGTCCACCAGGTGCGTGTGTTCTGAACGGCTCCACACGGGGCTAGCCTAAAAGGAAAAGGAAAGGGCTAGTACGGTCGTTCGCAAAGTTTGTAGCGAAGCTCCCCACTTTTCGAGTGCCCACTTTCTGCTTGGTATTGATGCAGTGCTGTTTGTAAGTTAAGGCTCTGTTCAGAGTAATACCGAAGTATTTTGAAGTGGAGAAATCGGCACATCCCTCCATCTAAGCAGGCGCTTGGGGCGTCAGGGCCCGATCGTCGGCTTAAATGAAGGATTTGGTGTTCGATGCAAGAGGCTGATCGTTCGTGTAGATGTTAAATACCATTGGGATTAACACACAACCCTAAGGAAGGCCATTTTTTAGGGTTCTTCGTCGACTCCTTCCTGAAAGGAGATGGACCTGAAAGCGACTGTTGTGGGAACCCTAGAAATGATCCCAGGATGCAGGAGCTATATCTTACTCGTCGTGTATATAACCAGAAATAGAGACGAAATGTCATTTAATTTGTTTGAAAACTATTCTGCACAAATCATTACTGTGACAACTGCACTCCGATTGGCCAGCCCGAATTCGAAACAATTCACGGGTGTCGTCAATTGTTTCACTTAAATCGACCAGTTTAATAAGTTAAAAAAAAGTTAAAAGCTCAAGAGCTTTGCTATAATGGACGAAAATTCAAAAATTACATATTTAGTTACCGATGAAATGATTCCGTTTGTTTTGTAATTAGATGTTTTGCTGTTGTTCCCACACCAACGAACGGAACAGCCGCCCATTATTAGAGATATTATCTTTATTACAATAAACACAGAATATTTTTGGAATATACGGAAATGTACACACGGGTCAGTGGTTGGCGCCGTACTATTTTAGCTCTCTAATTTGTGATTTCAGCTCGAATGAGAGAATTGATATTTAAAAGTGATATAAGGCCCATTTGCCTGATGAGTTGCCAAGGATGGATGGCACTTAAGTCGTGTCTATTTCTGGTTATATACTCGATGTAAGATACTCGAGGCAATAAATAAACAATAATTGGAATTTCTTATTCCATTAGTTTTTTTTTACCACTGGCAACTACTGGGATATTTTAAATTCCATTTGTCGCCAGTGGCAACAACAGATCTTTTTATCCCATTTGTCATCTGGTAACATATGGGATTTTTTTCCCCCACTTGTCGCTAGTGGGAACAAAGTCAGTGGTGACAACTGGGAATAAGCGTTTACAAGTTATTATTATATGGTACTGCATGATTGACAACCGCGCTGTCAGTCGAACAAACAAAGACTTGCACGATTGACGCTCTGTATGCCATTTTAACGCCCTATAGGTGCGGACACTTTTTAGCGCGAACATCCATTTATTGGTAGGTCAATGGTAGTGATTTCGTATCTTATCTTTTACGCACTTCAAAAAAGGAGGTGGTTCTCAATTTGATTGTATTTTTTGTATTTTACGCGATTACTCCGATTTGTGAACCGATTTTGATGATTCTTGTTTTATTTTAAAGACTCAGTATTGATCTTATATAAATTAAAAAAAAATATTCCACCTCTAAGGGTGGCAAACTAGGAGATTAATCCGGTTTCGCGCATTTCCGTTAACCGATTTCAATAAAAAAAAATGTATTATTAAAAGGAATCAATGCGCTTAGCTATTCGATACTACGTAAAATATTATAGTCAATTCGAAGCCAGGGAAGCACTGCCATCTTATCTATTTCTGCCGCCAAGCAGTAATTTCAGCATTACTGCGTTCCGGTGGGTAAGGGTGCTGGTGAAATTATAGGCACATGTCAACTTCTGTCTCAGTCAATTTCTGTCTGATCTTTGTGATTTAAAGCTCTGAGTGGCACTATAACTGTTATGGACTTGCGTTTCGCTTACCACCAGATGCACGACTTGTTCGTCCCGCCATTTGGTATCATAAAAAAAATCCATTTGTTTCAGCACATTCGCGATAGTTGACGAGAGCATGCAGTGCGTATGCGTGACGGTGTATAACTGGGCAGATGGGCGCGGTGCCATCATCGGCGACTGCGTGGCCGTGCCCGAGCCACGTGTTAAAACACACAAACTCGAATCACCACTTGCAGTATGTCAATTCAAAATAATACTGTCATATCAGCAAGTATTTCGATACCTCTAATGAACACTTATTTTTTTACGCGGGGAAATCCATCATGGATACCTTACGCCTGGTGACACAGACGGAAGGTTATGTGAGACTCCTACTGACTAAAATCCTTCGGGATTTTATGCTGATGCTGCGGATGCTGCGGCATTCGTCTCTGCAACGTAAACTGGATCTTGGGGGCGCCGATGCATTTACTTCGACTTAATTTTTGGACCTGTTCTGTTTTTATTTTCCTTATTATTTCTTAACCGGGGAGCATAATATTAGTAAATAAATATGGCTGTTTACAAAAAAAACAGAAACTGACCAAAACATGAAGTTGGCGTAGTGTTCCTTGAAGGTATCGAGATTGAGGCGTCAACTTCCGACTCCTGCCGCTGTTTCTTAATGCTCCGAGGTCGGTCTCAAACTATTGACATTTATATCTTAGTTCAATTGTTATAGTATAAAATATAAATTGATAAATTGAATGCCTTCGGCTCATGCCGATATCGATGGGACCTAAGTATAAGGGCGAAAGTAACAATTTGATCATTTTCACTTTTTTTTGTGGGAAATGCTTCATTTCATTGTAATCTATAAGGTAACGTTAAAACAAAATCAAACATATTCGAGGAAACCTCGAAATACAACGATATCTTGAAAATATACCAGATTTTAAGTGGAAGCCTCTCCTGTAAAATTGTGATTTTGCGCTTTGGCCCTTATAAATAGGACCCATCGATATGCGCCGAAATCCATCGGTGTGCGCCGATTCCTACGGCACGTTGGCGGACGTACGGGATAATCCATCATCAGTGTGCGCTGGGGGTAAAAGATCCTCTTCGATGTTCTCACCCCGAGTTCCGCCGGTTAGCGCTGACCCTTAACCGTCTATATCATGTCGGTGACCTGACAACAGTGTACATTTTCTGTTCTTTTTTCCAGACATACAACTTCAAGTCAATACGCGTAAACAACCCTATGTGGTTGTTGGTGAATGGCAAACGCGTTGGCCGCGAACAATACGCCAGCACCAGAGTAACAAGCACGTACCAGATTCACTGACATACGCCAAACGACGGCGAGCTCATCGACGAAACATTGGTCGAACTACATCTGCCCAATATGGACTTTGTGCATAGGGTTGAGTATTATCGTCCATTGAATTTGTTGTTTGAGTTTATCGTTGGACCCAGCACTTCGGCTCTTTAGATAAAAGCCGTTTATTCAAAGGTAAAACCACTCGCTAACGTCATATCGTAAATACGAATTCGGTTTTCGAAGCACGGGATTCGTGGGTAATAAAATACTAAGTAATATCATTAAAAAAATTAAGTGTAAACTAGAACAATCGCGCCTGAGTGGACAAAAATAACAATGAGTGCAGAAGATCATGGTTGTTTATTGGTGCATATAAGTTACGTCAAATAATACTTAATGTTTTTACTAATGTCGTCTACAATATGGCGATATACTGTTAGCACTAACTAGCTAGATGCTAACTTTTTTAGTGTTATAGCTCCTTCGATACGACTAACGTCAGAATGAGGAATTATTGAGTTGGCTCATTGACAATTTAATGTATACATAAGTTATTTTATAGGTTTGTTGTAATACAGGCGTGACAGCTGCTTGATAACAATATTTCTTAGTATAGACATAGTATGATAAAACAAGTAGACCGATTCTCGAACTCTTCGATATTTTAACCAAATCGTTCGATTGGATATCGTTCTCGAATCAAAGGGGGCTTTCCGAGTTATTCAGAACATTAGAGTTAAACGTTGGATTCGGATTCGGATACGATATCGTTATCCAACAACGTTTACGGAGTTAGTCGGTGAAATAGATTATAAGAAAAATGAAAATTCTTTTTATATACATTTTTAAGACTTTAAAGACATATAAAATAGGAATGCATTAGTCTTGCATTAAAATAAATTAATAAAATTGAACAAAATTCAGACTTTATTTAAAATAATAAGAGATTTCCATATTACATTCTTGCTTTCTAAACAATTGGACGTTCGGTAACTTTCATTCGATAACTGTGTTCTGAATAACGTTGTAGCCTTCGCTGGTCGAGAAGTTCGAGTAATCGTACTGGTGTGACATGATTCCGGTTCGGTTGCGAAGACTACAGTTTGACGTTCGACTCGGTTGTTGTGAATAAATGAAAAGAAATCGGTCGACAACTGAGTTATCGTAAGTTCGCCCCCTATTCAGCGTTTCACATGGAGCGTAGGATTGCCCCATTATTATTTTAGTTGTACCTCCAGTGTTCATTACAGTTTTCTCGTCCTATGAATGTCCTATGTATATAATGACGACCTACGTGGTCGAATGGCTTGCAGACCGGTTTTCATGGTGTCGCCATCTCCGAGGCCCCGGGTCCGATCCCCGGCCGGGTTAATGTAGAAAAACAAACTTTTGTACACTGTCTCTGGTCTGAATGTTTTTTTGGTTTCGTCGTTGTTTCTGATTTCCATAACACAAGTGCTTTAGCTACTTACTTTGGGATCAAAGCAACGTGTGTGATGTTGATGTTGTCTAATATAAAAAAAAATATTGAAATAACCTTTGTCATGATGAACACTTTCATATTGAAATTTTTATACCAGGATCGTGGATTGTGTCGAGGGCAAAAACTACTACCTACTAAATATTTATTGTAAATCAAGTTTTGTTCACATTGAATATAATTACTAAATGTCCACTGCTTTCTGATCTATACATTCGGTTTTGCCTTACTGTTGAATTGATTCGTTTAAAAATGCACTTAATATGCACTTGAATCCTTCATAAAAATCTAATCGTGTTGTGCATCCCTAGTAGTGAGATTCCACAGAATTGCAGGGTGGAGTTGTGGAGTTGCCTCTTTTTCGTGTAAAAAAGATTTTTACATCGAAACTTTTGCCCGTGGTTTTGGGCAGCAATGAGTTAAAACCCTGTATTGGGTAAACATCAGGTTAAAACCCGGGCGGGTTGGTTTTGATCTCGATTATGATAGTGTGATTATGGAATTGAAATGTTGATCAATTCTGAATTTGAGGCACTCTTGTTTAAGCAACCATAAACACAATAAATACGTCTACTATTTGATTTAATTTTTAACTGACTTAAAAAAAGGAGGAGATTCTCAATCGACGGTTTTTTTGTATGTATTGTTAAGCGTAACACATATCATAGCGATAACACAACACAAATCTGTGAATCAATTTGGGTACCTCAGTAGTGGTCCCATTTAAATTTGAAGAAAATATTCCACCGCCGAGGGTAGCGAACTAGGGGATGAATGACTTTTGAGGTCGGTTTTTTAGTTCTCTGTACTGAAATTATTTAAACGCCGAGTGAACGCTTTAATTCTATAATGAATGGCGCGTGTGACGACCCGCTCTGTGCAACACGAGTGCATTTCGAGATTATGCGAATGTGTGCGCCCATACACTGTGCACGGCGGGTGCTCACACATATAAGCGTGCTTCTACGTTTGTATGGAGTTACCAAACTTGTCTTATTGTACTATGGTGTAGATTTTTATTTACTGTATGCTCTCTAATTTGTGCTTTATAATCTGTAGATTGCAAAACAAGATTGCTGGATAGCAATCTTGTGTTGTAAAGATCTCACATTATATTAATTTAATATTAGCTGCAATGGAAATGTATATAGACACTTGGCTACTAATTAATTTTATGTATACAATATACTGATATCTGATATGATATACTGATATTTTTTGAGGTTTTATTTAGCGTGAATTATAAAATAAAATTATGTAGCTAAAAACAAATTGGGGAAAAACTAGATTTAAAATGATTGGACAACAGCGAAAAGACCTTTATAATGGCTTCATTGTACTTTGACAGCTGTCAATGTCAAATGTGGAAAATATCCGGAAAAATATGATGTTTTCAAAATGAATTTTTCCACGACCCTACACTACTAATTATGCATTGGTCTACTTTTATTTTATTTATCTAATATATACAATTATATATATTTTGGGGATCATTTTAACACAGTTAACTGTACTTTTGATTTTCTGGTACTGTTCTTGATATTTTTGTAATTTTTGTCTTTCCTCTTTTCTCATCTTGAATGCTGTTCCAGAACAGCAAAGTGTCCAGACACTTTTTTGTCTTTAATTTTTTGATTGCTGTCCTGGTTATTTTATTCTCTGTCTTCGTTTTGTTGATCCTTGTTTTGGTTACTTGGTCATTAAATTTGTATTGTCTTTCTTAATTTTCTCACCATGTTTGTATTGTAATAGACGTATAATAAACAGCAAAAAAAAAAACAATAAATAAATAAATTTACAAAGAATTGTTAATTTCCTGTGTTGTGTATCCTGTTCAAGACGAGTTGAACTTGTTGAATACCTGCAGATTTATCATCATCGTCAATTTATTTATACACCCCACTGCTGGCCACGGGTCTCCTCTCAGGCGAGGGTTTAGGCCATTGTCCGCCACGCTATCTATAGAACTATACTTCTGCGAAATTCTGCTTTGCTTCTGCTTCTCCAACATTTTCTATTATCCGCTAGCGATCTGCGGACGTTGATATGCTATTTAAATTCAACCCTTAACTAAGGGTTAAAATTTGAAGATATGGCATGATAAACTTACTTATTTTAAAGATTATTACATTTAAACAGGGTACTTGTGGCAAGTTTACAACAAAAGCTTAATTTTAGTAGCAGTAGAGCTCCCTGTGATAGAGGTCGTCAAAAAAATATTATTGATTTTTTAGCCCTAGAAGGCTTTTGATATTTTTAGTACGCAGAGGCATTTAGTCGCTTCGACTAACATAATTAAATATGTTGTCATTTCGAGTTCTTAGGATTTTGCGATTGTTATACATATGTAGGAAATGAAACTATTTTTCCGGATTTCAATCGCGTATATTTGTTTTTTCAAACAAATCGACGTTTCGGGCCCTTTACAGGTCCCATGGTCACGATTGACTGAGGTGGTACAGTCTTCAACTAGTTATGTCTAATATTAATGCAAACCACCCTATTTTTTCACTATAGTTACAATAGTCATTAATTAAATACCTTATTTTTAATTTTACAAAGAAAACATTCCAATTTACGCTACATTTAGTTTTACAAATTATTTTATTGAATGAATTTTTATTAAGTTCAATTTATTATTAAATAATAATAGAAATATGAATAAACTAAAACATATTGATTACTACTGCAGTTTTATGTCTGTTTGGGATTTTTAATCAGAGGAAATACTGGATCCCAAACACCAGTTTGGGATCCCGTCATCCCAACTATAGTGAATAAATAGGTTGGTTTGCATCAATATTAGACATAACTGGTTGAACACCGTACCACCTCAGTCAACCGTGACCATGGGACCTGTTAAGGGCCCGAAACGTCGGTTTGTTTGAAAAAACAAATATACGCGATTTAAATTCGGAAAAATAGTTTCATTTCCTATGTTGTCATCATTAAATATTTTTTACCTTGTTGTATAAAGGTAAAAAAAAAAATTGAAAACAGTGTAATTATTGAAATATTTTTATTTAAACTAAGAAACGTCAAGTGACAAATGTGTTCATCACAACTTTCTCGTGCTATGAAAATTACTCGTGAAATAATATTTGTTAAATTATTTTTATGTCAGGTTCGCGGGTTGGTATTTTGACTTCCATAGTCATAGTACGATTATGAAAAAAAATGAAATGCTGAACAGTCCTGAATTTGTTCACTCTTATTCAAACAACCTCAAACACAACAATAACACGTTTACTATTTGATGTCGACATCGGGTGACAGCTTCAATCCTATAATAAATGGCGCGTGAGACGACTTGCGCTAAGCAACGCGAGTGCACAGCGAATATAACGAATGTGTGCGTCGGTACAAAGCGAGCGGCGCGGGCGTGCACACATATAAGCCGTGCTGCTACTTTGTATGGAGTTATCGTACTTGTGTTAGATATTATGCTATTTCTCATATCTATGGTTACAACGGTCCAAACCCCAGGTACTGTTGATGGAGATTGTTAGTAACATACTTCATACCACTTGAATTGTCTTGTCCACTTTTATTTGTTGGTTACTTCCTGTATACTCATACACTCCGTCATACTCATGACGGAGCACATTTATGATAGAATTTTCAAATTTTGTTTACATTTTACATACTTTTAAAATTCTGTATTTAGTTAGAACGCCCAGTTGATTCGTTAGAACAGTCTCTTAATATTTTGGTACCGTTCTCCTTCACAGTTCATGTCGTTAGACTTTAGAAATGTAGGTTAAGGAGCGTTATTTATCCACTATTCCATTAATTTCTTAGGTATTATAAATGAAACATGTATTTATCTAATTATTTATATTGTTTAATGTTATGTTAATGTTTTTGTATTACATAATTTAGTTTTTGTTGTGCACGTAAGCACGTTATTTTAGGTATTGTGTCCTGTACCTCCTTAGGTCTGCAGGAAGAAATTTCGTTTAGAAATACGCAGAACCTTTTGTCAGTGTTTGCTTCAAATGTTATTGTCGATTTTTCCTGTACAATCAACGATTAAGTTAATAAATAACTGCCACCTACCGTTATATTCTCTAGAAGTGTGTAAAATATTGAACCAAACGTTATTAACGATTGATAACGTATTAAATTAGGATCGTTAACGTTTTGACGTATTTATTGTTTAAAGAGATCTATTTTAGCTACTACTCGTATATGCACCTACGTCATTGTACTGAGTTTTGACGTCTTTGACTAAGGGTCAATTCTCACTGAAAAGTCGAACATCGCGACGTGTCTTGAAGTTGTATCAAATATTTATTGTACTTATTACAATTTACAAATTTCGGCTTTTTAGTGAGAATTGAACGTAACAATACAGCATTGAAATAACTATATTGAAATAAAAGAATGCCTGTATTTGGAATAAAAAATATTTTACCTACTTACAAAATAGTCCTAGACGTTAATTTCCCATAATTTCATGTCGTTTTCTACAATTTCGGCGTACATTTCTGCCTTATATTTATCTTTAAACAACGGTTTTAAAGTTTTAAGATTTATGCTTATTAAAGCAGAATTGTCTAACAAATCGTTCAGTTTAGAGGCTAAGTAAGGATTATAGTGTAATCTTAGAAGACTAGGTCTGGAGTACAAATATTGGCTATCTCGTAGATTTTGATGAGCCCAAGTTTCTATTGTCTTATTGCCGCTTGCAAGCTGGAACGGAAGAAAAGACAATATTTAAAAAGCGGTGGAGGGACTGTTGAACCTAATTTTGTCAAAAAGGAATATTCATTATTTATTTAATATACGTACTAATTAAATAAGCAACAAATAAAAATACAATAAAAGCTTAAAGACTAAAATTAGGAAAAAAGATTAGAATGCCCAAATTGTTAGCAGAGTTCTCCCTATGTATAGATATGCTAAAATGTTGAGCAAGGTTGCAGCAGTAGAGTTCCTTGTGAAAGAGTTCGTCCAGGTAAGTACTGCCACCTTGCCTATTTTTGCTGCCAAGCAGTAATGTGACCATTACCTACTGCGTTCCGGTTTTGGAGGGTAAAGGTGCTGGTGAAATTACCGGTACACGAGACTTGTCAAATTATGTTTCAGGGCGACAGGCGCAGTGACAGTGCCATTCAGATCTTTGCGATTTGAAGGTCAGAGTGGCACTGCAATTGTTATGGACAGGCATGAAGCTCACCATCAGGTGCACGACTTGCTCGTCCGGTCACTTGATATTATAAATAAAAGAAAAACCATATCTATTTCTGTCGCCAAGCAGTTATGTGTATACCCATCGAGTATTAGAGACGAAATAAGGGCCATATATTCCTGGTAACACATTAGCGATACAGCTCTTATAAATATCAACTCCCGGTTGCATTGAAATATAGACAGGCCAACTACTGACCTGTGTGTACGTCGCTGTATACTCCAAAAAATATTCTGTATTTATTGTAATAATGATAATACAATGCCGTTCTATTCGGTGGTGTGGGAAAAACAGCAAAACATCTAATTACAAAACAAACGGAATCACATTTCATCGGTAATTAAATATTAAATATGTAATTTTGCAGTTTTCGTCCATTATAGCAAAGCTCAAGTTAACTGGTCGATTTGAAGTGAAACAGTTGACGACACCCGTCAATTGTTTCGAACTCTGGCTAGCCAAGCGCAGTTGTCACAGTAATGATATGGCAGAATAGTTTTCAAACAAATTAAATGACGTTTCGCCTCTATATCTGGTTATATACTCGATGTGAATACCTAATGGTATTACTGCGTTCTGGTATTGTAGGGTAAGGGTGCTATTGACATTACAGGCACATGGGACTTATCTAGTTTAGTGCCCCTCAGATTAGAGAAAATGTTAAGCCTCAAGGAGGCTGATTTTAATTCAAATCGGAATGGATTCAATCGGGTAGCCCATCAGAGTCTCGAAATCAGATGGGTTTCCGAGCGAGAAGATGAACCTGATTGCTGCCATATCTTTCTGATTTGTGAGTTAAATCAACTGTTGTCCCGATTTGAAATGTCAAAAGTTTTCGATCGGCCAGTTGTGAATCGCAATTATGCGCCTCGTACTCGGAAGAGACGCAGTTTCCGATCGGGTGAGGCAATCAAAATCAAGCTGCTGGGCCGGTGTTTATGCCAGCACTCTTCAATCCGCGGTGGTAGCCCCTCAGTTAGGTTCAGCACAGTAAGTAATAATAATAACTAAGGTGTTTTCAGAAATTTGTAACAAACATTAAAAACTTACTCTAATCTCACCAACTTCCTTGAGGAAGTATGAAGAGAAATAGAACCTCAAATTATCCTGGAAAGCTTTTCGGTTTGAGCGAAGTTTGGATCTCAAGAAGTTGTACCCTGAACGCTTGTACTTGAATACCTGAAATATATTGTACATAATGGTAACTTTTTTATATAAAAAAACCGACCTCAAAAGCTCATGGAATTACATCTATTTGCCAAGTTTTATTGAAATCGCTTAGCGGAAAGTGCGCAAAACCTGATTAATCCCCTACTTCTCCACCCATAGTGATGGAATATTTCCATCAAAATTAAATGGAACCAACACTGAGGACTCTTTCCAACAAAAAAGAATCATCAAAATCGGTTCACATTATAATCGCGTAAAACATAAAAAAATAGTCGAATTTAGAACCTCCTTTTTTTAAACGGTAGACAAAAAATATTTAGTATTGTTTGTTGCACCACAAATAGCGTCAAAACTGTCTCCTAAATGTAAGTACCTAGACTTGGGCTCGTGTCGGTAAGATTAGTAGGTTCTAGATAATCAAAAAAAATGTATTCCATATACTTGCCTATATTAAAATAGACACAGTAGACTGCAAAAGTGGTTAAAAGAGGGCGTGTCATGACTATGGGACACGAAGGGAAAGTTAATTATGTAGACAGAATATTCTGCTTTATGGAGACATTATTTTTAAACGTAAGTAATACTGCATTCAAAGACTTAAAAAGTTGTATCCTCTTCTGAGAATGGAAACACCAGTATTTTATGGTGCCGATTGAAAACAAACTGACAAAATATCTATGTAGCAAAAGAAACAATGTAAGAAAAAAGAAATAACACTAAAAAAAGAAAGAAGTATGGAGTTCCTGTATAAAACTGCCACATTCTTCCTATATATACAGTTTTATAGTAGGTAAGCATTAATACATATTATCGTGTTCATAGATTTGAAATGAAACTATTTTATGTAGGTACGGTGTACCTGTATGGGACCTTTACAGATACGCATAGGCATATGAAATAAAACTAATTTACCTGGGAAGGCCAAAACAGCAAATATAGGTACCTACCTACGAGATTTAGATCCGTAAAAATAATTTTATTACCAGTGTTAATACAATCGAGATTTTTTCGCTTAGTGTATGTATGATACGCGCTTCTGTAGCCTATTATGACTATATTCATATTTAAGCAGGAAATTTAAACTTGCAATAACATTGGATATAAATCCCCACCATATGTTTGATGTCTGGTATTTGAAAAGATTTGGTAGGTATCTGAATTTCTTACTGCATTTTTTACATGCATCGTGTGACTCCAGTTCCAAGAATTCTGTTCTACGATGTAGGCATTACATTATTTACCTGATAGATGCTATCCCCTGTAACGTATGAGTCGATGTAATGTGTTCCGTAGCTCTTCATAAATTTTCTCACGGCGCTTGCGTCACTGATGTTAAGGTTCTCGATTGCTTTGTTTACGTAGTCTTTTATTGCAATATCTAAAAAATAAATAACATTATAAAATGAAATTGTTACGTTTATAGGCTGTTCAAATATAGGTAGGCGTTATTCGCTGTGGGTAACGAAATTCATTATCATTTATTATTATTACGTCAGCTAAATTGTCACTGACTTGCGGGCTGTGCGAAGGGATGAATTTGCCGTATCGTGAGGCGAAACCGGCTTCGCAAAGCAAGCTAAGGGTGCGTACAAATTTGACGAATGCGCCGTAAATGCGAAAGGCTCGCTAGCTGAGCACGTGCATTACGTCGTGCAATGTATTCTCGTGCCGTTCGCGCACTTATACTACTATGTATTTAACTGCACGCATGCAGCAGGCGTGAGCCGCGCGCGGCTCACATGCAGCGCGTTCGCGACGCATTAGCTGGATCTGTACGCACCCTTAAAGATCCCGCCTACCTGGGCGGTATCCCGGTTTCACTCTAGCAGCGGAATTTCATAGAAATACCGGGCGAAATTCGCTTATATCTGAATAGGAAGTAGGTAATTTTTCAGACTTAATTGTTCCACAGATGCATTTAGTCCCATCCACCTTACCTAAATATACACAGAAAAAAAGAATTTGTACTAACAAGAAAGAGCAATTTCTCAAAATATTTGGTAATTAATATATATATATATATATTATAAAAATATTTATTAAAAGTAACAAAATATTGTCATTACAAAAATATTGCTTATCGTTTTCTAATACAATTGTACTCTTAACTTTATTCTAACTTTGAGAAACGTACGTTCACTTCAAGATTTTATTTCATTTCTAATCAATTAATTGGACATTACTTACATCAAGAAATTTTTACCTCTTACATCAAATTTAAATAATCTTAAATGAATTCAAAATTTTTTGGGTGTATTTTAAGAAAATATATTCTTAAACAAAAAAAGAAGTAGTTTAATATTCTAAATTCTAGAGTATATTCTTAAAGCAACATTTCGTTGCGTTTTCATAGTCAATGTTGTCGTGACATATCGCCGAAGGCGCACGCGGTAACGATTACTTTTACTTGTGCTTGTAATCATAAAAATCATAAACAGTCATTTATCCCAAGAAACAATACGTAGTATCTCTAGTTTGTTAGGGTGTTATTTATAGTCATAATTTAAGAAATTTGGTTACAGCATGAAAAATAGATGATAAAAATAGTATAAAGTCATCTCATATATTTGGAATTGTTAGTGCATTCTGCCGCTCGTAGCATTTATACGGCGCTGATTGGTCCTCAAGTATTTGAGAAGATTCCGTCCTATTTCTGCTACTTTAAGGATTGACACTGAACTGTGTGCTTTCACGCTAGTGAAGTGAGACATACTGTTGGGTCCATAACCCTGTAAATTTACCCTTTTTGATATTAGAAAACATAGTAAATCTTCAGTCAAATAATTAAGTACCTCTCAATTTTTCATTCTTTTTTTTTTTCAAATCAAAATCGGACATTTCTAATAACAAATAAATATTTTGTTGAATCTAGAGTGGCTTTGTGACTTGAAGTAAATTAATTTGCTCTTGGATTAAATATTTCTGTCTTGTAACGAAAATACACCTACGATACGTTTTTTTACTATTAAGTAATTATTCTCTAGCGTCTATAGGGAGAGGATCGTTTTGTTGGATTTAATAAATTTGTCTTCATAAAAAGAATTTTGTCTTTTTCTAAGTAATCTGTTTTTACCGTGTATTATATTAAAAATTAGTGATAGCACGCGCTTAAGTGGTAACGCATTATTATTAAGTCTGTTGTGTCTCACAGCTGGGCAAGCAATTCCCCTTCTTTTCTATTGGTCTCTATTTTGGAGTCCAAATCATCACGACATCGCCGCCGACATCTGCCTCGTCTCCGTTTTGAGTTGTGGCAGAGGTCACCCACAATTTTTAGATTTTTTTTACAAGTTTTGGTTAAGACGATGTAAACTCGTGATCGCACCTACAGTTTGTTAGCATGGTCAAGTCACCTGTTAAATTTCCAACTTTGACAGTACGATTGACCTTATTCATCTTGACAAGTACATAGCAGCAACTGTTGGGTTTCCCATCGTACTCGATGCCGTACGCTCGCATGATCTCATCCATTATCCAGTCGCCCATAAACGCTTTCCATGGCTTATCGGCTCTGAAATGATTGCGATACGTTTTTATTCTAATTAAAATCTTAATCTTTTAGGTATTAAATAGATTGTCTACAAATCTTTAAAATGGTTGGTAAGTACCTATAACTGCGCCCGTCACCCTGAGACATAAGTTGACAAGTCCTATGTGCCTGTAATTTACTTATCCTTCCAAACCGAAACGTTCACACGTAATTTTCACATTACTGCTGGGCGGCAGAAATAGGTAAGTTAGCATTACTTCCCTGGACGAACTCTTTAACGTACGGTTACTAAAAAGGTCGATGATGGAGGTCCAGGGAATAAGTTTGCAGGTTCAGGCAGTAAACCCCACCCCCACCCACTCTATAGCTGTTCGCCATATAAATGTCACTTATAAATCTTTTTACAAACACGTAAATTTTCACCAGTTTAAAAAACTCGCTAAACTAAGCTTAATAAAATTTTTCTTTTAACTGCAAAATTTTAAAAGATTGACTGACTGGAATATTACCATATTTCGTACCCTTGTTGAGTAGGTATAATAAAGCCACATGTGATCATACGTCAAATCGATACCTCCAATGAACACTAGGGGTAAGCGGAGCAGATTCGTACACTTTTTTTTTAAATTAATTTTAAACTTTTGCGCTACTAAATAAATTTATAATTAAAATTTTTGCTGCTTATTGTTAGGGTAACTAATAAACATTATTTTATTATTATTATTTTTTAAGTCATTGAATAGACGACATATTTTTCGATTTTAACAAAAAATAAGAAATGTCCAATTCTGCCCCACCTGCGGGGGTACTTTGATACATCCACATGGGGCACTTTGATTCGTGAATCAAAATACTCACCACAGGTGACTATAGTTTCAAGTATAAGTAAAATGTTATGAGTTTTTCTTAAACAAGTCAACAACAATGAAACTATTATTTATTCAATTGGGCATAATTATTTTAATCATTCTTAACATTTCAGTTTCGTGATTACATAAGATTTTTCTTATTCTAACATTAATTATTTTAATTGCTAAATAAAACCTTAGTTTTTATCTTTGATATGGCTAATAAAACGTTTCTGTGTGAAATCATAATCTTACATTTTTAATATAAATAAAATATCTTGTTTTGTCTTTTTCTTTTCGAATTTCACAAGTAAGAAATAGATGACTTTAATTTTATTTAATTGGAAATACTAAAATTTGTATCCTCAACACTTTTGTCTTGTTCAGAAGCTACATGCATGTCTTCGTCGTCGCTCTACTTAATTGATCCTGTTTGACAAGAATCTGAGTCAGACTCCGATAATGAACGTTGAGAGGCGTCGCTTGTTTGAAATGTTCAGGTTTTCTGTCAGACCCAACAAATTTTTTGCTGCCTTTAATTCTCTTTCGCCTATTTGCTAGACCAAGACTTACTACAAGACAAGACTTAGTACTTTCGGGGGCACTATTTCAGAAGTGTTATTTGTAATGTACTCTTGGAAATACATATACAGTAGGAAGAGCTGTTCCTATTGCATTGATTATATCGCAGAATGTGATTAGTTCACGTCTTTCTGCAGATACTATCTGTTCTGCTTGCTTTTGAGTTTTTTCAGCACCAGGCGTGAAATTAAACTTCGCCAAACGCGTTCATAATTGTTAAAAAACTCTGTGACGGTAGTTTTCTTAAATGCAGAATTACGTACTGCACTTCTGTTCTCTGATTTTCTCAAACGGAGGGCACTATTTATTTTTCGGAATCCTGACACGATAATAATTTGTTAAAATAGTTTTACATTTTTCGTACATAATAATAAATAATAGGGGCGTAATGACGTTAATTTGTTGGGGGCCCTTTGATACGTACCAAACTGTGTATCTCACGAGTGTATCAAAGTACCCAAGCGGTTATTTTATAAATAAACATTCCCCAAAGTCACATGCAAGTGTAGTTACTTATTACTATTATCATATATTATTAACATAGAAAACACGCTTAAGCCTTTCGAGCTACAACGGCTCACAGGCGAGTTGCGCCAGTCGCATATCTATTAATCACACATAAAGTCACGTTTCAGTGCTGCTGTTCAACAAAACAAAAGGCAATTTTACAAAAAGCTAATGATGCAGTGTGGCGTTTAATAATTTGTAATACCTACCCTTTTTAAATTTGCTTTCGTTAAATAGAAACAGAAACTTTGTCGGAAGACAGTATTTTTTATCACCTATATCCAATAAATAAAAATTACTAGAAAAGCAATGAATTCCTTAGATTAGAAAGTCATTTCCTCATATTTACAATTTATTTGAAAGAACTATGAATTCCAAGCGTGGACCCTTAGGTTCGTACATTTTCTCGTATATTTCACTCACTCGTTCATTCAATTTCTTATTACTACTCGGAGTAATGACTATACTCTGAGGATTACTATCTCCAGTCTATTTCCACCAGTAAGGCTACAAGAAATTAGGGAAAAATATTTCTGAACCGGTAACACTGGTCGTATCCCTTATTGCTAGCTTATTGCTCTATGACTATTTCATTTTGATATAATAAGTTTGATATTAGAAAAAACGAGACAAATATACTTTTCTCTGAAATTTTCATCAATTTCAAAGCTAGTCTTTAAATTTGCAAAGTGGTCTCACATTTTTGTAGGACATTGCGTCTCTAGTAATATTTATTCTTACTGGCGGCAGCACATGTCAACGTTGTATTAAATGTGGCAGAATTTGGCAGATTTGGGAATATTCAGCAAGTTCTTTATTATTTTTGGGAACAAACCGCAAACTTCTTATTTTCTGCTACTACGAACAAACATCTGAAGTAAAATACAGGACAATATTATAAACATAACCTATATCAACTTTATAACCCCAACTTGTACAGGCTGTACTAATTAGCTATTTTTTTGCTTTGATAATGAATCACTAGTGTTGATAGGTTTCTCTAATGCACGTCGTCAAAAACACTGGGAAACAAAATCTGGGTCGCCATCCATCTTTTATAACACTTTTGTTCAAGCAAAACGATATCGACTTATTTCGTTTGTAGAATCTTAAAACCTCTCCTGAAAAATTGTCATTTTGCAGATGCGGCTTTATTACACCAAGGGTGCGAGTTGTGGTAATATTCTAGTCAGCCACCTCCGAGAGAGATGACTTGTAATTAAAATACAGCTACAAATATGAAAGTACAGTAATGCATTTTTTTATTTTTTGCGACTACTTATTAACAGTCTATTTCAAATTAGAGGTGAGCGTTTACACGAAAAGAACGTTAAAAGTTTGCTTTATAATATAAGCACGCTTACTTTAAGTAGTAAGGGTTGTTCAATTCAAAACTCAACAATTTCATTTTTTACATTCAATGTTTTCTACGCAAATTAATTCGTTAATGTGAATAATAATGTTAAAATAGAACTCGTCTTTAACAAATAAATTTACCTATTTGAAAACCTTTAATCCTTACTCTCGCCTTTCGCTGTCAACACCACGTTGCAAGCTTTTTTTAACATAAAGTTAATCGGCTTAAACGATTTTATAAAACATATTTTATTTAAACTAAAAAGCGTTAGCGAAAAGTCATTTTTATAGAAATTGAGATTTTTTATCCCATTTGTTTTTTTTTACCACTGGTAACTACTGGGATATTTTAAATTCCATTTGTCGCCAGTGGCAACAACAGATCTTTTTATCCCTTTTGTCACTACGTGGTACTCTGTTACCATATGGGTTTTTTGTTTCCAATTTGTCGCCAGCGGAAATCACCAGTGGCAACAACTGATATTTTTTTATCCCGTTTGTCACCACCTTGTAACATATATTTTTTGTGACTATGACTTACATGTTTAGTTATAAGTACTGTAAGTGTAAGTTGTACAAATTAAATAAATAAATAAATAAATATGGGATTTTTTTCCCATTTCTCGCCTGTGGGAACAAAGCTAGTAGTGACAACTGGTAATAAGTCGATTTTGGCCACAGACATACAAACAGAAATGGATTTCAACGTCAGATCCAAATGACAGTCCTTACCCTTCAATTCTGAAATCTTGGAAATACGATGTGAGCAAATCCTCAAAGCTTTCACATAGCAAAATGTTGAAATCCATAGTGTTATAAGAGCTCTCGCTAAATTCTTCGCTGGTCACGTTGACGAACACCCTTAGATTTTTCTCTCTGAACGGCTCTATTGTTTCTTCATCTTCTTCCTCATAGTCTGTTGATATTACTTGCGTTTCTTGGGATAGGTCGCCGTAACTAGAAAATGAATTTAATTACGAATCAAAGAATTCAAGCTACAAAACGCTTGGTCATTTTTCATTGCTATCCCTATATCCAATTTGAGTTGTATCTATAATTTCATAGAGTTAAATTTAAATCTTATGTGAAAAGGGAGAAATGGCGTCGTCAGTGTTATTGTTAAAACTCAATGTTCAATAATTTTATTGCTGTCCAAAAGTCCACCTAAGGTCTTTTGAGAACCGAATGAAGTCCGTGCAAGCGTGCTGAATCTGGGGTCAGGATCTGACCCCAGAGTAGGTCCCTGTGCGGGCTTGTTTGCACAGGTTATAGTGCCCTTCCCGTATAACCAAGAGGTTGATAGGGAGGGGACTATAAACGAAACTATATAGGCAGGCATAGGATTGCTCTCCTTAAGTAAAATAGATGTTACATTCATTTTAAGTAAATTTTTGGGCCCAGTAGGTCATGATCCTGATGATCCTGATGATCATTTAGAGGTCACTATATGTATATTCACATAATTTGTAATTTAGAATATTAAATGAGATAGCTTGTAGCTTTGACAAGCTTCTATATTACCTAGTTATTATAAGTAGGCATCTATTACACTTCCACTGTATTGAAATATTTTTCAATAACATTATTTTTACATTTTATTTCAACTACAACTCTTCAAATCTCTACGTCCCATACCTACCGCATACAAACGAAGTAGTATAATTCTAAAAAGCCCACCAAAGAAGACCTTTGCCAGGCAACGTGCAACGTAAGATGATGATTCCTTAAAAAGCTCTGTTACGTTACGGTGAACCGTAATTAGGCCAAAATGCACTCTGGTTCAAGTTATTTAACTAGTAAACATGCTAAGTTCGTTCAACCTGAATTGTTTACGTGAGATGATGAATGAGACCAAATTTCACGGAGACTATCTTTTTGTAGTTAAGTGCGTTTTATTCTTCAGCAGTGAGTGATATTCTAATTGGAAGAACGCTTGTCTTAGGTGCTGGGTTAAATTCCCACCGAATGGCACAAAATATAAAGTCATTTTCGAATTACATAACGTTCATTCCTTGATTTTACGGCGAAGAAAAACAGCGGACTGAACCTGCATAATCGGAGATCATCAACCCATTTATATTTACCAATGCTGGGCATGGGTCTCCTCGCAGGCGAAGGTTTAGGCCTTAGTCCGTCACGCTGGCCTAATGCGGGTAGGGGACGTCACACGTTGTCCGAGAGTTCTGAACCTTCTTTGATGTGCAGGTATTATCGGAAAAGTTTAATAAAATACCTCGAAGAAGCATGAAGTTTCCATCCTCAATTAAACCAGAAAGCCTTTACGAGGAGACACGTGCCCAACAGAGTGACGTATAATATACTTAAGTAAATGATAAAGAAACGTGGCGTTTCAATACAATAGAAGAGAAACATACGTAGCGTATACTCCGCCCAACCATTTATTTCACTTTTGACATATGCATGCCTCCGAACCTGTTTTCCATCGGAGCTTCGGAACTTCGGACCTTAGAGGCTCCGAAGTTTCATAATCATTGACATACAACCATAGGCAAATATAGTATAGGTAAGTATTGATAGTATATTATTGAGATACCATAGACAAACAGGAATCAGCGGGAAAGATAGCGAATGCTCGAGCATTCCCTTGAATGATAGCGAATGCTATCAAAGGAAGCAGCAATCAAACTAAAACGAATCCTTCGAGTCAGTTACTGCTTTTAGTTCTCTCTCAATTCCAAAATAAAAATCTATTTCCACATTATTTTGGTCGAATGGGAACTTTGTACCGTTGTTAAGATGCGAGAATAACCTCATCATCATCATGAATTCTGAGAATATGCCCTAATCCACCATAATGGCCCAATAAGGGTTGGAGACTTCACACGTTTTCCAACGGCCATGAACGTTCATGGACATACAGATTTCTTGTTGATGTTTTCCTTCTCCGTAAGAAAGTAAATTATATTGCTACTACACATACACAAATGTACCTACGTGACGTGGAAATTAAAATCGTAGCTACTAGCGATGTAACAGACTTCCGCAACTGCGAAAGTTCCGCACGCTTTTTCACATCTGTTTCCGTTTCTGCTTCCGCAACATTTATAACGAAAGTGTAATCGGAAGTTTACAACGTTTGCGCAATATCAGGCGCTAGTGCGGATTACTTGGCGGTGGAGAGCGCGTTTTTTTAGTAGTTTGTGTTGTGTAATAATTGCATTTGAATTAGGTATGAATTATTACATTAGGAATTATTTTGTTGAGTTCGTTCGTTTCTGGGAGTGTACTCTTGTTCTCCGTCCGAAACAATTAGGTACTGTCAAATAAGTAATACTCGAATTAATTAAAAGATGCGTGGTGCGAATGAAGCTTCCTACTTGACAAACTCTTTTGATTTGGTCAAGTATTTATTTTTTTTATAATATCAAGTGACGGGACGAACAAGTCGTGCGCCCGATGGCCATAATAGTTGCAGTGCCACCCAGAGCTGTCCCATGACACGTCCAAGTTTCATTTGTAATTTTGGAAAGTCTCTAGGGCGCAAACTTAACTTGTTAGCCTCTTAGAAGCGCATCGAGAGAAACTGTCTTGATATACTCGAATTGCACAATCAACGAACAA